ATTGTAGAATTTTCAAATAGGTTTTAAAGGCTACCACTGATTGCCATTTGACTACTCTAAATGTCTAAAACACTCCTTATTCCATATTATAGAAATATTGAATGTTGTGTGTTTAATCTCCACATTCTGTTCCTAATGTCTGCTATTTTAGCTTGGGTGACTGGTTTAGGTGACATTGTTTGTGTTGATATATGTAGTTGTGAGCATTTCAAGAACTTGGTTAAGTGGCCGTGATGGTAGTATGTTGGCAGTGAGTGGGATTGGAGTAGTGCATCGATTAGAAGTTAATGTTCTCATTTCCTTAATCCTAAAATGAAGTCCAATTTTAAGAAGTAAAAGCTTTTCCCCACAGAAGAAGAATACATCACACAGTTCTAAGTTTTTTWAAAAAAATTGTAGCATTTGATTGTTATAACTATTTTAGAATCACAATTTTATTTTAATTCTTTTCCCCAGGAACAGGGAGGGATGATAAATTATTATGAATCACTTTGGGCAATTGCCACTTAAATATCACAGTGACTTGCAGCTTTTCTTAACTTTACTACATTACCCTGTCCAATAGGAGGTTATAAATAGATACATTTCATAGTAGAAAATGGAAGTAATCTTTAACAGATAAATAGTAGTTCATTGTGGGATGTGACATTTAATGGATTTAATCTTAATTATACCAATTCTACAAAAGGATTTGGTACATAATATGTAAGAATTAAATAATTACAAAACTTATGTGCTCCCGTCACTTTATATGCACATTAACCTGCACAGAAATTCTTGGATATGTAGGTACTAGTAATTCCTCATTTTATGAATCAAGAAACAGAAGCATTGAGATCTTTATAGCTTTTGTCAGGTGCAAAGTGTGTTTTAATCCTGGAAATTAGGTTCTAAAAACTCTGAATCRCATTGTATTTTTCAGTAGTGTGGGCTTATAGATTATAGATTACATCAGATTGTAGTCACTTCATAGGCCACTTCATAGTCACTTCCTTTGTTAGTGAAACTAATAATAGGTGGGAAAGTTTTCTAGACTCAATTCTGTTACCAACCAACTAAACTAGTCAGAATTTTGAGAACATGGATACAAAGGTAAAGGAGTTTAGAGGAGTATGTCTTAAGTAACTATTTTCATATAGTTTCATGTATCTATTCAAAGTTATCTTCTAAGATAAATGGCAAAATAAAGAACAGTGTTTGAATTGATAGTTGATATTTKTAAATGCTGAAGTTACATTCAAGAGAATAATGTAAATTTAGTGAGGCATTGTGATAGTGCAGTGTTTTGCATTTTAAAATTAAAACAAGTTAATGACAAAGCTCCATGCTACCTTTTATCTGTGTTTCTTCCAGACTGTCTTCAGTGTGAGTAGTGAAGAAGAAAAATACCAATTTACGTCAGACCCTCCACACAGATTCAAGATATTAGGCCAGACTGATATTGAAAAACAAGACTATTCACCATTTCTCTGGGGACTACTATAGCAATTCTGAGTATCTAGAAACCTTAAAACATTAAATATATGTAATCATGCTGGGCACCTTGTTGCATACCTATGATCCCAGCTATTTAAGGAGCTGAGGCAGGACCATCACAACTTGGAGGACAGTCTGGGCAACTTAACCAGACCCTATCTAAAAATAAAAAGGGCTGAAGGTGTAGCTCAGTGGTAGACCCACCACTATGCCTATTATACTTGAGGCCCTAAGGTTCGATCCCCACCACTGCAGGATGGGGAAGGTATGTGTGTGGCAGGGGGGGCGGGGGCGGAAGTATGTGCTCATTTTTCTAGTAATTTAAAAAACATTTTACAGAAGTATGTTTGACAGTGTAGGGGTTAAGACTGGTCCTTTATCACAAAGGATTTGAGAATTACTACTCCTTATTTGCTTTCCCCAGTAGCCCAGGCCAGCTCTTTTGCCCTTTCTTCCCTGAAACAAGTAGGTCTGTTAGGTCTTGCTCCTCATATCTTTGTAATTGTTAATGGAATAAAGTAGCATCTTAATTCTGTTGCTTATTGTGAATTCCAAAGTAGATATTAAACAGCCTTCCTGTTACATAGGGTAGTTTTAGACCTGTTTTCTTGTAATTATTTTTTCCACTGGTGGAAGCAAAGAATGAAATTATAGGCATATGGTAACATGAAATTCAGAGGAACCAATTTTTCACATTAATTTTYCCCCTTTATTTTTTTAGACCTAGTAATTCCTCATAGTTTTGCACAGAAGCTATTTCCCTGCCTTCTTTCTGGCAAAAAGAAAAATTTTTTTATTACACATTTGTATATTACATATATGTGTTTTATATGAGAGAGAATACTTTGTTCTTGATGCTGAACATAGAGGTAGAACAGAATGACTGGGTCCCTGCTTGTAAGAAAATTTAAAAGCAGATTCAAAATGAGTGTTTCTGTAAAGTTATACAAATAGCTTTTGTTCCTGAAATAGTAGTAGAATTTATATTCCTGGAGGTTATGTAATCTAGAGGTACATGAAGCTGACTTTTCAGCTCTAACCTTGAATCTAGATGGATCACCATGGGATTCCAACAAACCTGTGTGTGCAAATTACTGCTTTTGCAAGACCTAGTTTCTATTTTTTATGACTAAACTAGGTGATTGTCCAAGTAAAGTTTTTTTTTTTTTTAATTATGTGATGGCATTTAAAAATTTTAACATTTGTTTAACTTTTTTGATCATATTGTTGTATTTTCTGTGTAATTTTGTCTGCATTAGTGTGATTTTTTTTTTTTTTAGAGGTAGCAGTCCTTTATCCAGCCACCTTCCCAAAATACTGATCCGTGATTTTTTTCTTTAATGTTTGATCAAACATAACACATGCCTGTTTTATTTTTCTTCCCTACAGAAGGGTAGAAGGTGAAACATTCCTGTCTCCTTCAATCTCACTCTTCTTTTTCAAGGTACCACTCAAATTTCTTATAAATGTCTATAGAGATTTTCTGTGCATATCAGATGAGTGTATGTGCACACATGTATAGATTTTTTTAGACACAAAAGTCACTAGCATTGTTTTGTCATTTAATAATTTTGGACATTTTTGTCTTAGTGCATGCAAAATGCATTATTTTTATTGTTCCACATGTTCCATTATATGGATATTTTCTTTATGGGTGGACTGACTCCTTTCTTCCTCCCTTCCTTCTCCCTTTCCTTCCTTTTGGTATTTTCGACTTCACAGACCCTCATTGTTAAGATGTAATCCTATCTTTGTACACTAAGCTTAATGAAAGACAATTTGTTTTTCTTTAGCAGTACTAAGTGGCACTTATTTTCTACCCATTTGACACCCAGACCATTCTAGTCCACATACACAGACTATCATCTGTTAGTCATTGTGTTCTACAAAGCAGCTTTGTAAGTTTTGTAATTTTGTTTCTTGTGATATTTTTCTGATTGGATAATCATTTCTTTATTTTCTTCTAAT